GCCATTATGTTTCAGGCTCCGGAATTAGCTGTCTCGATAACACCAGAGACCAGCCTCGAGAGGCTGGTTCCCTTAGCTAAGTAAATTTTCTGGCAGCGTGGAAGCTTCTGCTGAATATTTCTCGTTGGGTCCTGCAGATTGTAGAGAAAGGATACAGAATCCAGTTTGGTTCTCGTCCTCCTCGTTACAACGGGGTGCTGCCCACAGTGGTGCATCCCGAGCAGGCTCTGGTAATGGAGCAAGAGGTAAAGGCCCTGTTAGCAAAGGAAGCTATAGAACAGGTGTACTCACCCGACAGAGAGTCGGGTTTTTACAGCCGTTATTTCATTGTTCCAAAAAAGGATGGGGGGTTGCGTCCCATTTTAGATCTTCATCTGTTAAATCGTTCAGTACAGAAACTCAAGTTCAAGATGCTGACACTCAAACAGATCGTGACTCAAATCAGATCCGAGGACTGGTTTGTCACGACTTCCATATCTCCATCCTCCCTCAGCACAGGAAGTTCCTAAGGTTTTCTTTCGGGGGCAAAGAATACCAATATCGGGTTCTTCCTTTCGGTCTAGCTTTATCACCCCGCACGTTCACGAAATGCGTGGATGCAGCTCTAGCCCCTCTCAGGCTTCAGGGCATACGTATTCTGAACTACATCGACGACTGGCTGATTCTAGCGGAATCAGAGCAGTTGGCGGTTCGGCACCGAGGTGTCGTTCTCGCTCATATGCAGATGTTGGGGTTGAGGCTCAATGCCAAGAAGAGTGTTCTTTCTCCAGTACAGAGAACCACTTTCCTTGGTGTGGTATGGGATTCAGTGACGATGCGGGCCACTCTATCGCCCGTTCGTGTAGCTGCTATCCTGACAGCCACCAAAGAGCTAAAGCTAGGCCAGTCACGCACTGTAAAACAGTTCGAGAGACTGTTGGGTCTTTTGGCGGCAGCGTCCAACGTGATACCTTTTGGCCTGCTGTACATGAGACCTTTACAGTGGTGGCTCAGGACCAGAGGGTTCTCCCCGAGGGGAAACCCACTTCGTATGATCAAGGTCACGCAGCGGTGCCTTCGTGCCTTAGTCATATGGAGGAAACAACCCAGGGTCCGGTGTTGGGAGCTCTTTGCCATTGTGTTACTATTTCGACAGATGCTTACCTCACCGGCTGGGGAGCGGTAATGGAAGGCCGCTCGGTTCAGGGTCTGTGGAAAAGTCATCATCTTCCGTGGCACATCAATTGCCTTTAGATGATGGCTGTCTTCAATGCGTTGAGGCAGTTCCTCCCAGACCTGAGGGGCCATCATGTGCTTGTACGAACAGACAACACATCAGTGGTCTCTTATCTGAACCGTCAGGGGGGTCTGCGGTCGCGTCCGCTTTGCAAGCTGGCGCACCAGATCCTCCTGTGGTCTCTGGGGAAGGTACTCTCCCTGAGGGCAGTGTATATTCCTGGGGACCAGAATATTGGGGCAGACATTCTGTCGAGGCAGGAGCTGAGGCCAGGGGACTGGAGACTCCACCCCGAGGCGGTGGAGAAAATTTGGGAGTTCTACGGCCAAGCAGAGGTGGATTTGTTTGCGTCTCAGCATACGACGCACGGTCCACTTTGGTTCTCCCTGACTCACCCGAGGCCGAGGCTACGTCTGTACGCATTTCCCCCTGTTGCTCTGCTCCCAGGAGTTCTGGAACAAGTCCGCCTGTACGGGATAAGCCTACTGCTAGTAGCACCACGCTGGCCGAGTCGGATCTGGTTTGCGGACCTGATCCGTCTCTTAGACGGTCCTCCCTTGGAGATCCCGATCAGGAGAGACCTTCTGTCTCAGGCCGGGGGCACAATATTTCACCCTCGACCAGAAATTTGGAACCTGTGGGTTTGGCCTCTGAGGGGGCCCAACTCATAGAGAGTGGTCTCTCAGCTGAGGCTGCTGAGACCATTCTAAGCTCCAGAGCTCCAGCTACTAGGAAACTATATGCGCTTAAATGGAGAGTTTTTTCTGTATGGTGTCATCGACATCAGTGGGATCCAGTTAACTGTTCTGTGAACACAGTACTCGAGTTCCTGCAGGAGCGCTTTACGTCAGGTCTATGTCCTTCCACGCTCAAGGTCTATGTGGCGGCCATTGCGGCTTACCACGCCCTGGTGGAGGGTATATCGTTGGGTCGAGACCCCCTGATTACACGTTTCCTTCGTGGCACATTGAGGCTGAGGCCTGCAACTCGCACTAGGGTGCCAGCTTGGGATCTTGCTTTAGTACTAGAAGGCCTGTCTAGGGCTCCATTCGAGCCCTTAGATTCGGTTTCAGAGAAGTTTCTTACTCTTAAGACTGTCTTTCTTCTAGCTATTTCGTCCCTTAAGAGAGTTGGAGACCTTCAGGCCCTTTCGGTTTCCCCCACTTGCCTTGAGTTTGCACAGGGGATGGTCAAGGCGTTCTTCTATCCGAAACAGGGATACGTCCCTAAGGTGCCGACCTTGATTCCGAGGCCTATTGTGCTGCAGGCTTTCTGTCCTCCTCCTTTTACATCTGCGGACCAGGAAAGGCTGAACCTCTTGTGTCCAGTGCGAGCACTGGATACTTATGTTCATCGGACATCTTCAATGAGGAAGTCCAACCAGTTATTTATTTGCTTTGGATCACCTAAGAAGGGTCTTCCTGCTTCTAAACAGACGGTTAGTAAGTGGATAGTTGAGGCTATTACACTTGCATATGAGCACTCTGACCAGCCTTGCCCTTTGGCGGTCAGAGCTCCTTCTACGAGGAGTATGGCGGCCTCTAAAGCCTTGTTATTGGGGGTTTCTCTCCAAGACGTTTGTGATGCGGCAGGCTGGTCCTCACCGCTCACATTCGTCAGGTTTTACAGTTTGGACCTGGATGCTGCCCCAGGTTCTCAGGTGCTTAGTGCTTAGCTACGACAGTCTGACACTCAGGTACTTGGAATTCTGGCGTTTTGGGTATTCTCGTTCCAGTAACGTGCGGTGAAGTCTTGTCATGGGTAGGCTGTGACCTATCAATGTGGCATATTCACAGGGGCGTAATTTGCCGCTGCGATCGGTGGCGCGGTTACAATGGATCTCGTGGCTCACGCATGCACGCGCGGAGACTTTTTGTTCGTTCCGGTGAAATCACAAAACAAAAATGTACACAAACGTGTCCCTGCTTAATATAATACAACCACTGATGAACATATTCGGTTTTGATGAAAAAAAAAAAACCTATACGAGTGCGGATTAGAACCCAGAACCTCTGACATGCTCGGCAAAAGTTCTACCACTGGACCATTAAAGGACTCACGTCAATTTGCCGGATTCATTCATTTATACACACATACGCGCACACACATACACCTGTCCCACCCACTTTTTAAAACAAAGTTAAGCCACTGTATATTCATTCAGGTAATTAAGCAACCCAAGTTAATATCAGGCATCATCACATCGCTGCCTGCATACAGAGCAAAGTCAGAATCGCGGATTGAGTGAGAGCGAGTGGATCACGTGGATCACAGCCTCGGTCTCTGCCTCAATGTTGATAATTCAAAACAGCATGAGAACTGACTGCGCATGCGCAAATCTCCGTAAACTACGTTCTATGGACCAAAGAGGCACTGCGAACCTCTGCCTCAATGACCATGGCCTTGAATTTCCTGCATGAAACAATGGTTTTTAGGAGCAAACTATGGCAAAAGGAGTATTATATAAGTATTCCTGATTTTTTTTGTTACAAAAATTAATATTTGGAATAAAATAAATGCAATTAATAATGTGGTGAATTAATAAAGCTCTTGGGATTAATAAATGTAATGTCAGCATTTCCTTTGGTGAGGCACTGCCTACCCTGCCTACCCTGACCGCACGTCCCGGTCTCGTTCCCAAAGCGTCGATGACGCATCGCGAGTTCCCTCGAAAGGGAACGTCTCAGGTTACTACTGTAACCATAGTTCCCTGAGATAGGGAACGAGACGATGCGTCACCCTGCCATACTTCCTGCATCCCTGTGATCGGCTTGTTTCGACTTTTTGAAGCTAATGCCGCGTTTCACCAGATGTGCTTTTATCCCTTCCTGGTCATGACGTCACCCGCCCGTGACGCTCATTCTTTCCATTGGACTAGTTGACATTGATGCTCAGACGCATTCACGCTGGGGGCGTTCCCAAAGCGTTGATGACGCATCGTCTCGTTCCCTATCTCAGGGAACTATGGTTACAGTAGTAACCTGAGACGTTTTTTTATGTGAATATATAGTAAAGGGTTATTTATTCCTGTGATCAAAGCTGAATTTTCAGCATCATTACTCCAGTCTTCAGTGTCACATGATCCTTCAGAAATCACTCTAATATGATGATTTGATGATCAAGAAACATTTATGATTATTATCAATGTTGAAAATATAATCTTTTGTAACATTATAAATGTCTTTACTGTCACTTTTGATCAATTTAAATCATACTTAATGAATAAAAGTATTGATTTCTTTTATTTCTTTCCCCCAAAAAATGAAATAAAAATTCTTACTGACCCCAAACGTTTGAACGGTAGTGTTTAATGTTACAAAAGCTTCTATTTCAGATAAATGCTGTTCTTTTGAGCTTTCTATTCATCAAAGAATCCTGAAATAAAAATATAAATAACTGTTTTCAACACTGAAAATAATCATAAATGTTTATTGATCATCAAATCATCATATTAGAGTGATTTCTGAAGGATCATGTGACACTGAAGACTGGAATAATGATGCTGAAAATACAGCTTTGATCACAGGAATAAATTACACTTTACTGTATATTCACATAGAAAACAGCTGATTTACACTGGAATAATATTCACTGTTTTTACTGTATTTTTTGTATTTTTGATCAAATAAACACAGGCTTGGTGAGCAGAAGAGACTCTTTCAGAAGCGTTTGACTGGTAGTGTGTTCAGCTGGACGTTTGATGGCATATTTCCAGGGCATATTTCTCAGTGAGTCAGTGAGTAATGAGTGTTGTTGGTGTGTGAAGTGTGTCCTGAAGGCGTACCTTGCATCCCTCGCAGGCGTGCACCCCGTAATGGAAGCCCGAGGCCTTGTCTCCACACACACGACACTCGATGTTCAGCGCCGAGGCCGACGGGTCTTCGTGAGCTTTGGAGAACGACAGGCTGTTCTCTGCAAACTGAGGAGGAGACTCGGGTTCAAGCTTGATCAAGTCTGAAACAGATCAAAGACAGCAGGCTTAGAATAATAAACACATTTATTAAACAGAATCTTATTTGTACAGTCATAATACGGTAAAACTAAAAGTGTTGAATGAATAGTTCCCTCAATAGTTAAAAATACAGTTTGGAATAGTTAAGATTTTTAATGTTTCTGAAAGAGTCTCTTCTGCTCACCAAGGCTGCATTATTTAATCAAAAATACAGTATTTTTAAAATATTTTTTATATTATATTATTAGAATGTAAACCAGCCGTTTTCTATGTGAATATATAGAAGTGTAATTTATTCCTGTATGTTTCTTGATCATCAGATCATCATATTAGAGTGATTTCTGAAGGATCATGTGACACTGAAGACTGGAGTAATGATGCTGAAAGTTCAGCTTTGATCACAGGAATAAATTACACTTTACTATATATTCACATAGAAAACAGATGATTTACACTGGAATAATATTTGACTTTTTTTTTACAGAATTTTTAAATCAAAGCCCATAGTTGGGTTACTCGTTGTGTTATTTTTAACCCAACATTATTAAGTGAGTGAGTAACGAGTGTGAGTGCAGTACTCTGTGCTATATACCAGCCCATAGTTGGGTTACTCGTTGTGTTATTTTTAACCCAACATTATTAAGTGAGTGAGTAACGAGTGAGAGTGCAGTACTCTGTACTATATACCAGCCCATAGTTGGGTTACTCGTTGTGTTATTTTTAACCCAACATTATTAAGTGAGTGAGTAACGAGTGTGAGTGCAGTACTCTGCACTATATACCAGCCCATAGTTAAGTTACTCGTTGTGTTATTTTTAACCCAACATTATTAAGTGAGTGAGTAACGAGTGTGAGTGCAGTACTCGTACTATATACCAGCCCATAGTTGGGTTACTCGTTGGGATTTTTTTTAACCCAACGTTATTAAGTGAGTGAGTAACGAGTGTGAGTGCAGTACTCGTACTATATACCAGCCCATAGTTGGGTTACTCGTTGGGATTTTTTTTAACCCAACGTTATTAAGTGAGTGAGTAACGAGTGTGAGTGCAGTACTCTGTACTATATACCAGCCCATAGTTGGGTTACTCGTTGGGTTATTTTTAACCCAACATTATTAAGTGAGGGAGTAACGAGTGTGAGTGCAGTACTCTGTACTATATACCAGCCCATAGTTGGGTTACTCGTTGTGTTATTTTTAACCCAACATTATTAAGTGAGTGAGTAACGAGTGTGAGTGCAGTACTCTGTACTATATACCAGGCCATAGTTAAGTTACTCGTTGGGTTATTTTAAACCCAACATTATTAAGTGAGTGAGTAACGAGTGTGAGTGCAGTACTCTGTACTATATACCAGCCCATAGTTGGGTTACTCGTTGTGTTATTTTTAACCCAACATTATTAAGTGAGTGAGTAACGAGTGTGAGTGCAGTACTCTGTACTATATACCAGGCCATAGTTAAGTTACTCGTTGTGTTATTTTTAACCCAACATTATTAAGTGAGTGAGTAACGAGTGTGAGTGCAGTACTCTGTACTATATACCAGCCCATAGTTGGGTTACTCATTGGTTTATTTTTAACCCAACATTATTAAGTGAGTAACAAGTGTGAGTGCAGTACTCTGTACTATATACCAGCCCATAGTTGGGTTACTCATTGGTTTATTTTAAACCCAACATTATTAAGTGAGTAACAAGTGTGAGTGCAGTACTCTGAGACTGGTGTGCTCTGTATCCGCTCTCCTCCGCGGTGAAGCTGCTCTCGTGAGATCTGTAGATGCTCTCCTGTGTCCTGAAGGTCTCCTGTGTCCTGATGTTCTCCTGAGTCCTGAAGTTCTCCTGAGTCCTGTAACTGTACATGTGTGTCAGATCCATCATGTGTGGCGGCTCGTTCTGCGGACTCGGCTCGTACTCGACGCCGGAGATGCTGGTGTAGTCCAGCGTGGAGAAAGGCTTCATGTCCAGCGAGTGCGAGCTGTCGTCGAGCTCCTCCAGTTCCAGAGCGCTCAGGCCGAATCCCACGGGCCAGGCGAACGTCTGCGTGTCCACCATATCTGACAAACAAAGAGCCACTGCAGAATGAGGCCAAAGGCAAACAACATCAACAACATCCACACACACTTATCCTCAGCCTGCTGTGTTTCCCAAGCTACATCATGATACGTGCGTCACTGCTTTTTTAGATTTTGGCCAAAACACAATAGATACTACACTGAAAATGACTGTGTAATGTTCCTCTGGTGCTCTTTGGTTTTGGTAAAAAAATATCTAAGAGGTTTATCTAAATATCTAATTACACTGTAACAAGGACACCTTAAAATAAAGGGTAACATTTTATTTTACAGTGTCCTTGTTACATATGTTAAATGTACTTACCATAGTAATAACAGAAAATTATGCATAATTACATGCAACAAACCCCCTCAACCAAACCCTAACCCTATAGTAAGTGCATGTAGTTGCTTAATATTACTCAGTACTTAAATGTATAATTACACTGTAACACAGACACCTTAAAATAAAGTGTAACCCTTTTTTTAAGGTGTCTGTGTTACAGTGTAATTATACATTTAAGTACTGAATAATACAAATGAACTTTTGGGGTTGGTTTAGGGTTACTTGCATATAATTATGCATACATTTATAGTTATTTCTACAGTAACTACATGTAACGTGTTACAAAGACACTTAAAAAGTGGGTAACACTTTATTTGGTTACACTATTTTAAGGTGTCTGTGTTACAGTGTAATGATACATTTAAGTACTGAGTAATATGCACTTACTATAGGGTTAGGGTTTGGTTGAGGGTTTGTTGCATGTAATTATGCATAATTTTCTGTCATTACTATGGTAAGTACATTTAACATATGTAACAAGGACACTGTAAAATAAAAGTGTTACCAAATAAAGTGTAACCTTTTAATGTGTCCTTGTTATAATGTAATTACACAAATAAGAGCGGCATAATATTAATTAACTAATGCACTTACAATGGGTTTTGGTTTAGTGTTAGTTGCTTGTAATTATGCATAATTTACTGTTACTGCAGAGTAATAAATACATGTGAGATGTGCAACAAGGACACATTAAGTATCACCAGTATTTTATTATTTAAATGTTATTAATTATGTTACAGTACTAACCCTAACTGTATTAATTATGATAATTTACCATGGTAAAGTCCTTACAGTAATCTGTTCACAGAGCAATCAAAGACTGGAATATACTCACTGCTGTTTTAAGATGAAATGAACAATTCTGTCCGAATCTCCACATTTATATCAGAGATTAAATGGTAATTATTGTGTATAGTCCCTTATAAACACAAAAGCACAGTTGTGTACAGGATATCAGCGCATGCGAAACCCTCGAGTGTCTTCAGAGGAAACATTCATTCAAAGAGATCAAGACATCAAATCAGGCCAAAGTGTGCGAGCGCATGAAGCACTGAGACGTTCATGAAGAATCAACACCTCAGATATAAGACGGGCTCCGACGACACTCAAAGTGTGAACCAGATAAGACTGAAAAAGGGAAACTGCGAGTGTAAATGTGTGTGTGTGTGTGTGTGTGTGTGTGTAGATGAAGCGTCAGTATAAAACATGCGATAGAGGGTTTCAAAGCAGCTTTACAGAGATAACATAAAATAATGTTTGTTTCCAGAAGAAAATAGCGTCACAGTCCAGCTCCAGTAAGTTCAGTGATGGCTAATAACCATATTGATGATATGTAATTATGTATCATAACTCTATCGCATGAGTTATGATACATATCATCAATATGGTTATTATCCATCCCTGAACTTTATCTATATAAATAAAGGTGACTTGACTTGATTAGCTTTACACCTGATTTGACCGTGTTCAACAGTCACCGTTAAAGGGGAAGTGTGTCAGTTATTCAATCCTAAAACAATGCTGAGATAACTACAGTATTTCCCAGAAAACTGTATATGCTTTCAAAACACTCGTGTGTTTTTTTGAGCTTCACGAGCGGAACGTCACCGTTCGAGTTTTCTGGAAACCTGTTTATTGTTTTCATTATTTTCTCTTCTGCTAATAGTGCAGACGTTCTTCTCTATATCAGTGTCAGTGTTTCTGAACTGCTGAAACGCCTCCATTGTAGTCTTGAGTTTCTTCCAGGAGCGAACACGTCACAATATTCCTCATTATAATAATTCATTCGCAGAATAAAGGGGCGGGGCCTGGTTGAGTTAGTTAGTAGTGTGTTAAACTGGTGGTTATGGAAAGGGGCGGGACATTTCCCAAACACACTCGATCGAAGCGCTCGACCAATCACAACACACTGCTCCAGCCGACCAATCAGAGCACAGTGTGCTTTTCAGAAGGAGGGGCTTCATAGAGACAGGAAGTAAACAGAGCTTTACTGACAGACTGGGAAGAGAGGAGCCGCAACAATGGAGAATATGAGGAAAATAATCAACATTCAAGCAGGAAAACCTGTTCTAGTAGAGCCTGAAACTACATCACCACTGTAAAATGGCATTTTTAAGGAAACATAAAGGGATATTTCACAGTAAAAAAAAAAATTCTGTCATTATCTACTCACCCTCAAGTTGTTTCAAACCTGTATACATTTCTTTTTTCTGCTGAACACAAAAGAAGATATTTTGAAGAATGTGGGAAACTGAACAGTTCTTGGGCACCATTGACTTCCATAGTATTCCCCCAACCCCCCCAAAAAAACTTTCTTCAAAATATCTTCCTTTGTTATATATATTTACAGTATATAAATACACGTATTACTGTGTTTACAAGTCATACTCAGACATGTAAATCATCTTCCACTCTATAACTGACCTAGTTATCGCTTTTGTGTTTCCGTCTATATACTTGATTTTACCCTGAAAATGACGTTTATGCACGACAGGTTTTCTGTATATAATTCAAGCACAGGTTTAGCCGTAAAACTGTCCTCAATAGCCGGCCAATCCCTTGTAGGCGTTGTATTACAATGTTTGTAGAGTCACCTGCTAGTAAAATGGATGGTTTAGTGTATACGCTTTAAAACACGTATGCGCTATGAAACCCTTTGAAATGTCAGAATGGTTTTTACCTGTTCATTTTTAAGACACAGGCTCTTCAGGTTTCAGACGTGCCAAATATAGACCATAATACAAATTCAGAGATAAACTGCCACAGAGAAAAGATTGAAGCTGATAATAAACCGAAGTCTAACACGGTTAACCATTTTTTTTGAACCGTGTTTTTCTTTTTTATATAATCAAGGTCGATAGTTGTGTAAAACCACACGTCTGAAATTCTCCACAAGAGCATCAGTATCTGTAACAAAACAAAATGGCTTTTCATGGATAAAACCTACAATTTACACAGATTAAGCAGTTCTGGTCTTGTCCGGATGACACAAAGGGGTTTAAATGTAAAGTTTTCACACCCAGACATCTTTCATCACCAGACTGGAACAGCAGCTTCTAGTTCATGCTAAACATGACGGATCCCAGCGTCAGCTCAACACTTGGACAGATTCCCAACGGCTTCCCAAAAATACCAACACTTTCCGATCGGAATGCGATCGACCCACGACCAATTGTCTTTTGTCAGGAGGGAGAGCAGCTTTTCTTCATACAGTGAGCTAAAGAACTGTCTATTCTTAGTAAAGTTTCCGTTCATAACATGCCCATTTTGAAATGTGGTAAACATCATTTGCTCTAGTTGGCGATTGTCAGAAATTGAGTTTAGTGAGACAAACTCTCCAACACTTCTCCTCTGACTCAAGTGGTTGAAAACCTAGAGATATTTTGGTTGAAACCACAAGCCCATTGAAATATAAGGTCAAACCTGCACTGTTTTTTTTTCCACCACAGTGTTTTTCTATCTACGATTGTGAAGATATGTGCAGATTATCACCAGCCAGCACTTGCAGATCTACATTACGTGACACTTTTGCGTTTCATTGGCCTGAAATGTTTGCACCGATATGACGTGCGAGTTGAACATAACAATACATGACAAATTGTCAAGTTAATGCCTCGTATCTTAACAAAAGACAACAAACACCACGTGAACCGACATTTCCAGCGCTGCGTCCTTCAGCCATGTCTGATCTTGCAGTGAATGTCAGACAAAACGTCGAGTTTCAGAACCGAACACAAATCTAAACTCGAGTTTTGTTGGTTTAAATTGGTGTATTTTGGTTGATTCAGTGATGTTGAATAATATTTCAGACCAGTTAATTTAGACGCTACCATTTTTTTCTCTGTCTAGAGAACGACACGCACCCTAAAGCTTCATAACACTCACTTAATAATGTTGGGTTAACCCAAAATAACCCAACGAGTAACCCAAATGCGGTGGTATAGCACCTTCCCCAACTATAAAATAAAATAAAAATAAATAGTTAACTCAACTGGCTTTTACCCAAATGCATTGGGTTTAAAGTAAAACAACAGTGAAGTTAACTATTTATTTTTTATTTCTGACATTATAGTAATAACTAAAATACACTTTGTTTTCAAATACAGATTGTTCATTTGTATAAAACAATAAATATGTCTCAACAAATATATATTTAAATTACAAATTAAATATTGGGGGGTCTAGAATGTAATGTAAATATAGCCTACATAATTGTGTACATAAATTCAAAATACACAAGTGTACATACAACATACTGTACGTATTTAACCAAACAGCCGGGTTATTACTAAAAATGACCCAACGGTTTTAAAAATGACCCAACATAGTGACCCAACATGTGTACCACAACAGTTTGGTTAAAAATAACCCAACATTTTTTACTGTGCATTATACCGACATTGTGTTTTGGTGACTAAACGGTTTATTTTACAGTGTCCTTGTTACCTGTTACATATACCAGTAAATTATGCATAATTACATGCAACTAACCCTCAACCAAATCCTAATCCTATATTACACTCTAAAAAATGCTGGGTTGTTTTCAGATATGGACAAACCCAGCCATTGGGTTAAATTTTCAAATTACATTTTTAACCCAACATTTGGGTTTGTCCATATCTGACCCAAAATTGGGTTGAAACAACCCAGCATTTTT